GGCTGCAGTACTGCTGAATAACCCTGGTCCGTCAGTAAGGCAAGCGTTTGACAGCAACAAATAAATAAAAACTGTCATGCAGACCATATGAAGCCAAAATCTATTATTCTAAACGTTACAGAGTTTCACACTCGATAATCAGCCCTTCTCTGTTGTAAATGTTATAAATATACAAGATGTATACAGTTATAAAATTTAGTGCTCTGGGACTGTTGCTGTATGCCAGTCGATGTTCTCTTACCAAAAAATAAATACTTTTTGGAACGTAATTTATTTTTAAATTTATTTGGGTGGAGTGTCCCTTTAAAAATTTTTAAGCAGAACCTCCCAAACAATCAGTATCGGTGTCAGTTTTTGAAATAATCGGCTGTCTGTATTGGCCAGAAATTTCCTTAACGGTGCATCACTAGTATATTGCTTCGGAAAGAAGCTAAATTAAAAATAATTTTTTTCTCTGGGAATTATTATAATGAAAACTCAAGGCAAGACACTATAGTGTGTCATTTTGCTTTAAAATATATTTCTGTATACATTACCAATGCTATTATATTTTCTGCCATGCCGATGCTTTTAGTGAGATGTAAAGCGTTACATGTTCACCACAGCCAATGACATATCTCCTTCTAGTTCCACGATTAGCATATAATTGCAGCACATTTATGGTGTTGGTTTACTGGATTTCCTTCTAATTATGCAACCACCTATCAGCCAATCAGCCACTGCACGTGCCACCCATCACAACAATGACTCAGAAGCGGCCTTCATCACAGCTACCTACCTAAATGACTGATGTTTGCTGGCTAAACAAGGTTTTGGAAGGAAGGAGCAGCAGCACTTGCGTAAAATTTTGTTTTCCTAGAAAGCAAAAGGCCACCTAGGGACAGTGTCCGGATACAGGGCATCCTCTACCCATCCAAGAGAGACAGGCCAAATATACAGACCAATGATTAGTGATTTAACAGAATCACTAAACTGCTAGGGCCTCCCCCCCAAAATCGAACACCAGAGCCCACCCAACACCCCAAAAACCAGACACCCCGGCAAGGCCACTGTGGTGAGGGTTCTGGAATATGCGCATGTCTACAGTAACCTCGAGTTCAGCGCTCACTGGGGGCGGGGTCACATGGGTTCCCAGAAAGTCACATTGTAGTGAGCTTATCCTTCATTTTACTAAGGAAGGGGCAAAAGAGAAAGATCTAGGGGGGGAGGGAAACAGTGTTAATAGGATCACAGAAGTCTTGATTTTCTTCAGAAAAGTAGTCTTTATCAAAGGAGAAAGGGTGTAGTGAATTTTCTGGAAGTGTTACTCATGAAAACCGGTGGTTTTGCACGCCCCCCCCCCCCGTATCTGATGTGGAGTTACGCCATCCTGCTGGGACTTGTACGCAGACGCTGCCTCATTACCCGACACAGGCCACGTACGTCATCAGTGGCTACTGCCATGCCCACTTTCACCCCCCACCCAAAAAAAACATCCCAACATGTGCCCAGATCCTTACTCCCCTCTTCCCACACCCAGTACCATTACACTACCAGAACGAAGGCCTGATTCATGACATGAAGGCAAAATGGCAAATTAGAGGATTTTTAATTTAGTGGTGTCAGCCATCACCTCCGGTCTCCATCGCAAGCACAATTGGTGCCTCGTTCCTAAAACTGCAATTTCTTGACTACCAAGCAGGATCTAACTCCGTTCAAAGGCGCAGAGAGGATGAGCCGTTCATCTTATGTATGATTTTACGTAAAAAATAGAAAACAGCTTGCAAGAGATAAAACAGGCCTCACATAAATATTAGTCCTTGTTATTTAAACCGTTCTTGGGTCTGCAATAACAATCAGGAGCTTGCAGGTTGGCCGATTGTGCCAGAATTTTAAAAAGCTCTGAATTAAAACTATTCGTTTTCCGTTGAGAAGCAACTAGCCTACTTTCCTAATTTCCCGACACGTACCAGAAGCCAAAACAATCCCCCAGCTAAACAACGCCACCACAGCCCAAGCCAGCAGTGCAAATTCAGGAGGGAAAGGACTCAATTCTTATGCAACCATACAGGCTTCCACTCAGAAACCATCATTACGGCCAGATTATTTTAGCTAAGGCTAAATGCTCAGTGTATTTTTAAGTTTTCTCTTGCAGCTACGCTCATCTCGGTAGCAGGCTTAGGCGGTAGCTAATGTTCACCTTCCAGACTATGGGATACGGCATTTTCAAAAGCAACAGCTATTCTGGTATTTTGAAATGATGAAATTTGCCCAGCATGGTTCCTAACGATAAATATCGCTCAATGGCAACACCTGCCCGCTCTGCAAATTTTATCACCACGATTTCAGATCTGATCTATGCCCAAAATACCCATTTTACCTTAACACCCCCAAGCAGAGCCGGAAGGAATTCTTCGGCATGAGAGTCACCCCCTTCACTACATGGGGGCTACAGGAGCCTAGGGACACACAGAGGCACGGTTTCAGTGTGGTCGGTGCAGCAGGCCATCATAAAGAAAAGTGTACGCAGATTCATGCGGGGGACACAAACTATTTTCACAAGCAGCTTGAATCATCCTTATTAGCAGATAAAGATATCAAAAATGAAATTAATCAAATTTAAGTAGAAAGGGAAACCCAAGGCAGTGAAAGGACAATCTTCACAAGGAAATACAAGCCCAAGGGCCAGGGGCCGGGGTGAGTGGAGGATGAAGGGCACTTTGATGTGGGGGGCCACCACTAAAAAAAGGCCTGGAAAGGCACCCCCCCCCCATCAGTAGTACCGTCTCCACCCCCCCCCCTCCCCAGCATCGATGATGAATAGTAGGGGGGTCTTTGACCATGTTAATAGGCCTCTAGCAGACGAGAAGGTCCAACAGCTAAGCACCTCAGCGTCAAAGATTTCGGCTTGTCCCACATCAGCAGAATCAGCGTAGTGCTGGAAGATAATTCCGTCAGGGCAAGGAATGGTAAAACATTTAGTGAACACCACAAATCCACAAATACTTAGACCGACAGGAGGTTTAATACTACTTAACACCCTCAGCAGAAAAACGAGAGAAGGAGCTTAAAAAAAAAAAAAAAGCCCCTCAGGTAAATTAATCAACAAACAGAAACTCTCCTGTTCATTCTGCTGGGTCACCTGGTCGTCCTCCCAGTGCCCTGAGCTGGTCCCGCTCAGCTGTTTGTATCAGGAGGAGCACGCGTTGCCATGGAGATCCACACCCAAAGGCGGCACCCAGTCCCGTCCCACGATGAAAACAGAAAGCTCGTCAAACGCAGCGCCAGCGAGCTCAGACTGGTCCCAAAGGCATATCCCACCCGCCGTTTTTTCTTTGATATTTCTCTTCCTCACGCGAATGTGGCAAAGACCTCCTGTCCACATCATACCCGGCACAACGTGTCATTTGTGGCACCGGCAAAAACTGCCCAGGGCTTGTCAGAGGCCATCCGACAACGTCGGAGCCAAAAGCGGCTGGGGATGACGGCCGCCAGCATCACAGGGTGAGTCGTTGAACACATTCACCTCGAAACTGCAAACACATGCTGCTCTGATTTCACCATGGGAGGGAGACTGCTTCCAGCAGCCTACTGCATTCCGGACTCCCTCTGCTGGCAGCTACATGTATGTGCACCCTGTCTCAAACAGTCTCTTTAAAGTACACAACGCAGAGCCATACAAAGCACAGTTTAGGAGCAAAGATGTGTCCTTAGAACCTCACTAGTCACTACCTACACATTTTTCTCCGCTCACAGAAAAGCACTGCTCTGAGATAATGACTGTAGAACACAAAATCTCCAGACACTAAAGCAGAAGCTGGTGTGACCCCGAAAGTTTTAAAGGGCTGAGAAGACGTGCAGCAGGTCAATAAACTGCTGGTGCTGCGTGAGATGAGGATGAGGCCATTGTTGGGTTTGACAGGGACCTCGGAATGGGTCCGGAGGGGGCAAACGGCAACACTACCATTACACAGAACAGTTCACCACCCGCCCCCCCCCAACCCCAACCAAACACAGCCAATCCAGCCCAGACTGTTGTTTTGGGTTAAAAGTCCCTTCACAGCCTTGAAGGGAACCTGCCTCTCCAAGCGCACGACCCCCGGCGGGACGCGGGCAGTGTCGGCATCAGCTTTGGGGAGGGGCCTTAGATCAGAGAAACAGGAAGTGCAGGACTCCCCCCTCCCCCTTTCCTTCACAAACACCCCACACAGCGCTCTCTGCCGGTTCCTCTCAACGCTGAAATAAACAGTGATACACTCAGGGGCACCTCCAGTGTTTATTTTAGGTGGGGGAGGGACAGACTAGAATAGCTGGAGCCAGGCCTCGTTCGCAGACTCGAACTTCGCTGTTCACAGGGGGGGCGGGGGGCGGGGGGGTTGTGGCTTTCCAAAAGCAGCTTGCGCCAGGAAGAGGGCTCAGTCTTCGCCGGCTTTTCCTTGAAGATGGATTCAGGGGTGCCGTTAGCTTCCTGGACAGGGAGGGGCTCTGGGAGCGTGCCGTGTGCAAAAGGCCCATCCGGTTGCTTTATGCTCAGCGGTTATTTTATTTAATTTATTTTGGAAACCCGGCACTTAGTGCCCCTCCCCGAAAACACCACCAGTCGGCCGAGTGACTGGACGGTGACTAATGGGGGGGGGGGGGGGGGGCTAAAACACAAGGACGCCCCCGTCTGCAATCCCTCCGTTCCCCGTCTCACCCCTTCCTTCGGCCCCCACGGCTCTGGAAGCCAGGAAGGGAACACTTAAGCTTATAGTGGACTGGGGCACCAATAAAATCCCAGACGCGAGGAGCCGCAGACAAGGCCGGCCCGCTGGGGTGACTCCCGGTCCCGGTCTTATCTGGCTGGTCCCCCTTCAGAGTAACTCACCACCTGCCATAAAGCAATAACTCATCTCTCAGACTCCCAGTCGCCATGGCAACCTTCAGAAGACGTCCCAGACACAAGCTCGCGGTCCCACAGCGGCTGCCATGGCTAGTTTTTTGGCCCTAAAACATGGTCTCTTCTGAAATCGGGTCCTTACCTTGGCAGCCCTCCGGCGGTCGGGGCAGTCGGGATGCTGGCAGACCACACACTTGTCTTCCTGGGCGGGCTTTTCATCTGAAACAGAGGGAGGGAGAGTCAGGCACCCCCGCAGCAAGCCTTTGCTGCCTCGCCGTCCCCATCCGACGCACCGCAGCGCGCAGGTGACGGCCGGCTTTGATACTGTGGCATCACGAAAGCCGTCGCTGTATCTCAGAAACCCCAGCTAGAGCAGCTTCAGGGGGCCACGCGCTTCACACGGGCCCTTGAAAACATAAAATTATGAATTTCATTGGGTGGGGGGGCAAGATGACATTTTGTCAGGCGGCCCAGAAATTCCCGCTACGCACCTGGCAGGATGTCACATTTCAAATGTCTAGCCTTTATTTTATTAAGGGGGAAAAAAAACACCAAAGGGGAAAGAAAAACACAATAAGGACAGGATCACGGAAATCTTTTATATATATATATATATATATATATATAAAACTGGAAACATTACTCATGAGAACTGGTGGTTCTGCCCCAGACATGCCAGAAAATCAAATAAGTTTGTCTCAAAAGCTTCCACAGCCCTGATCGGAGTGTCATTTTACACATTTATTTAAATAAATGTGTGTCTGTGTGTGTGTACAAAAACAAAAGAATGAGGAGGTACCACAGAAAGGTTTCTGAAGACGGAGGAGCTGGGACAAGACAAAATCCGCATTGCAACAACAGAAATGAAACTGAAACTGAAAAACACAGAAGGACTAATCAACCAAGCGGGGTGCGAGGCAGTTTAAAGGCTGAGGAGACTGCGGAGTTAGGGTGGAGGGCAGGGGGGCCCCAAAAAGGTCAGGACTGGAGGCCGGAAGGGTCAAAAAGTGCGAAAGCATGCAGAGACCAAAAGGCACAAGGAAAAAAACAGAAGGACAGGAAAGAACAGGTAAAGAGTGAACATTATTTTTCATTATCCTTAAAAGAGGGATGTGTTATTCAGAATAAAAGATTTAAAACTGGAAATGTATAAAGCATTTCACATGCCTAAAATAAGTAACTCCGTGACAACTGTCAATATCCCTAAAGACTAGTAAGACACACCAGCATGCAGGACATCTGATGTCACATCCATAACACTGATAAAATGCTACGCATTTATTTTGAACATGTAAATTATTATAGCGGCCTATAATCAACCCAGGATGTTAAGATGCGCAAATATGCAGATATGCAACACAAGACTATGTCACATCCATAATGCTGCAATTGCTTTATAACTCCTTCCCTTGCAAAAAAAAACAAAAAAAACAAAAAAAAAACATAAATGTCATATTAATAACCACTCCAGCCACCCCGCCGACATGACCGGTAGCATCAGCGTACCGTGTCGGGGACAGAGCTGCTGTCGGCACTCTGCGTTCGGAGCCCGGAGAGAAAGGTCCAGGCGGCTGCGGGGAGTTTCATTAGCCTGCTGATGGCGAAAGCAGCAGGGTGAGATGGGGCAGCCTGGCTGCCATAATGCACGTTTCCAGACATTACGGGGCTCTTGGACGACAGGGATTTTCCAGAAACACCCAGAGAGGCTTCTGGGAGATCCAGCCCTCCTTTGTTTCCTTCCTGTTCCTTTTTTTTTTTTTTTGGGGGTGGGGGGGGGCATTTTTCATTCACATAAGGCAGGCTCTGCAAGATGAATGAGCAGCTTATACTGCTAAGAGGAGAAAGGCCATGCTTCCTGTCCTTTTGCATGGCATGCCGAATTT